ACACACACACACACACACACACACACACACACAATTTAAAATGGAAGCAACAACCATTTGCTTCTGCTATAGGAATGTTTTTATTGTTGTTCCTAATGTATGGTTTACCCGATAGTTCTATCTAAATTTAATACTTTTGGCTATCACATCCTTCCTAAGATTTTAGGATATCTAAAGATTCTATTGTAATAAGTATTTTATTCAAAGTAATTGTTCTTTTCTGTTCTGTTCAAGTGCATTCTTCAAGGAATCCAATATACGTTCTCCTAGCCTGCACTCCTCAAAATAAAAACACCATTTCTGCTTTATGGTGTTCTAGAAACCTGCCATGGCTACAAAGGGAATAAAAAAATAGCTTTCCATTATGGGCTATAAAAGACAATGTTCCATAAATTGTCGTTCTATGTATTTATGGCTGATAAAATAAACCCAATTATTTTAATTTTTTTGCAAATTAGATATATTAAAACCGCCCTCCTCCAAGGATAATCTCAATTTAACTAATGAACGTCCCAAGGGCCTAGTATCCCAAATAAATTTCCTAAATAACCTCGTATTGTGGAGAAAATTTGCATTAGGTATTAACATTAGGAGACTTCTAAGGACATCAATCAAATGAGGGACAATATTCATGTTAATAACATTAACCCCCATAGGCATAATGGGATCTTAATGCCTCTATTCATATCCGATTCAACTTTCTAAAAGTTTCAGCATATTTATTTTCACATACTTAAAAAATGTTTTGGGGAACATAAAAGTGTTTCATATAATTGGTTGAGAACTGGCAATGAAGGTATCAAAGTGATGGATAGCTTCTGCTTTTTCTGGGATCAGCACTAAAGGAAAAGCCAAGAACTATGTCATAGATTCTCACTTGGTGAGAAGGCCTTGGTAAAGATATTCCAGGGCTGTGATGTGTCTATACTTACAAAGACCAAAGGTCAGGACAAAAAGTAAAAGATGAAAGCTTATGAAAGAGCAATCCAACCTAGAACTAAGGAAAACATTCCTGTCAGTGTGAAAAATCAATCAGTGGAAGGACTTGCCTTCAGAAGTTGTGTGTGCTCCAACACTGGAAGTTTTTAATCAGAGATTGGACAATCATTTGTTCAGAAGGGTCTTCTGTCATGGGCATTTGGTTAGATTAGAAGATCTCCAAGGTTCCTTCCCCCACTCTATTCTTCTTCTATGTTCTGTGTTATAACAATATGGACGCAACCATCATCTGTCTTTTTGGAAGACAACTTGCAGCATGCAGCCAAAACACTAAAGGCACGGTAATTCTTCATTGAGAAATATTGCCTGTTCCTTAGAACATGAATCTTAAGCAATTTTAGATTGGATTCATTCTCTCTCTCTCTCTCTCTCTCTCTCTCTCTCTCTCTCTCTCTCTCTC